GAGATTAACAAACCTATTTAAGCACCTGCTACACCCCACACCCCCTGGACTAAATCCACTCCACGGCCACTGTTTGCACAACTGCTCTCCCCACAGGAAGGGCAGAGTGCACCCTAGGAGCTTCAAGGGAGCAGCATCAACTACCAGACGTTTTACTGGGAGCCTCCTGTGGGCCAGGCCCTGCGTGAGAGCAGCCCCGGCCTGGTCAAGGACACAAGTGAGTCAGCGATTACAATACCCGGGGCACATGAAGAGCTCCAGGTTCTCGAAGGCCGTAGGGTGCAGAGGAGGGGCACCTGGAGTGGAGACATGAGCACAGGTGGGGTTGAGGGCCTCGGAGTGTCATTCCTAATACAGATTGAGGCTGGTGAGAAGGGTGTGTGGTGGTTAACTTTATGCGGCAACTTGCCTGGGCCGTGGGATACCCATATAACTGGTTAAACATCACTCTAGGTCTCCGCATGAGATTGATACCTGAGTCAGTGGACTGAGTAAGGATGATCCCTCCACCCGCAATGTGGGCGGGCACCATCAGTCAGTGGGGGGCCTGAGAAGAACGGAAAGGCTGAGGAAGGGCTGCTGGGCGGGGATGGAAAGCCTGGGCTCTCTGGTTCTCGGGTCTTCAGACTCGGACTGGAACTACGCCACCAGCCTTCATGGGTCTCTAGCTCATAAATGGTAGAGATTGGGACTCCTTGGGCTCCAAAACTGTGAGCCAATTCCTCAAAGTAAGTCTCTTTCTACATATATCTCTATACTGTTGGTTCTGTTTCTCTGCAGAACCCTGACTAACACAGGGGGGCCTGGCTCAGAATGAGTGGCAGTCGCTCTGGGCGGCTGGACCACAAAAGGCCAGGAGTGAGAGGGAGGAGGGCAGGCCCGAGTAGCCAGGAGTCAGGGCAGGAAGGGAGAAGCAAGTCACGCTAAAGAGCCTGGCTTCTATCCTACAGGACTTGAAGCGGATGGGCAACCCAATTTGTGGTCTACACACATTCCAGCAGCCGGCCCCGAGCAGCTGGGAGGTGGTCTAGGAAGTGGGCTGGGAGGCCACCGGAGCAGGACTTGACATGCCCTAGACAGTGGCAGCAGGGATGGCCAGAAGTGACAGACTACCAAGCAGTATTCAGAAGTCAAGAATGACAAGGCTTGGTGATTAAACAGATGTGGGGGAGGAGGAGGAGTTGGGGGTGACTTCCTACACCTTGAACTAGGACAGCGGGGTGAATGCTAAGAGTAGTTCATTAATAATCGGAATTTCATAATTGTATGGTGTAAGTGATGATGATTTTGATGATACCTGCAAGGCCCTTATCCTCAAGTACCCTTGAATAATATAAAGTACACTAAAATCATAATTGGAGGTATGTTTCATAAGATTCAAATCCTCTGAAAATTGTCCTGATAAGACCACCAGCCTTGCTTAAAAAACAGGACTCTGACCCTGTGGCCCAGGTCCACCTGCCAGCCCCTTCCAGGCACATGGTACTGTTTGATGTTTCTCAAATACAACATGCACGGTGCCCTCTGGCCGGAAGCCTTACTCCCCTGATGGCTGGTTGAGCTCAGACTCATTTTTCAAGACCCAGGCCAGTCACCTCAATGAAGAAGCCTTCCCCAAGCCCCCCGGGCAGGCTGCACACTCCCTCTTCTGAGAATCTTTATGTTTTGAATGCCCCACACCCCAGCTCTCATCACACACTGTAACAATTCGAGTCTGTTTCCTTAACTTGCTCGTGAGCTTCCTAAGGACAAGACTCCACCTCCTCCTGTCCCAGGGATTGCCAACGAGGGGGCCCGAGGGGCCCGTGGGCCGCCCGCACAGGAGGTCGTCCCAGGCAGCCGGCACGTCCAGTTACGAGCCCAGGCGCAGTGAGGAGGGAACCACAGAGGAGCTGTGCTGGGCAGCCCCTCCTTCACAGGCCAAGTGTCTAATTCTGTGGTCCTCTAACCTCAGCAAGATGACAAATTACCTCCTGGCACAGAGCTTCAGGTTGCCCTCAAAGTTAAAACCATAAATGTCAATTCCGTGAGGGCCTAACAAAGGTCTACTACTTTTCCAGAAGCTCCTCGTAAAAGTAGGTGACACAGATGACACATACTAGCTTTAGGACAAAGCCTCCTGTGTTGCAAAATCCCCTTGAACTGCTTTCTCCAGATAAAACACTCATCAACCCGCTTACGGTGAAACCCCCGGCAGTAAGCACTGACCTCTTGCGTGGCTTCCGAGCTCACAACAATCGCCCCTCTTTCCGGAATCAGGCCCCTATCAGGCGATGGGGGTTGGGAAGGACAGAGGCAAGGCATGGAGGGCAGACCCACGTTTGCACGAATACCCACTTTGAGCTCTCTGGGTTCTGCTCACTCAGGCCAGGTGCCTTCCTCACAGGTCTTGGCACCCAGCTTGCACCTCGGAAGTGTCTCAAACAAGGTGCCTGTTTCACTTCTATGACCTTCTTGCTC